AAAAAAGGAGTCTTTAATGCAATTTCCATAAAAGCTACTGCTTTTCCTGAAAGTGTTGCTGAGAATGGACAGTCTGAGAGCTGAAAAGCCTTACCTAGTTTCATTAGCTATTGTTAAAAAGGAAGATAAACTTCTGGTTTCTGTAGGAATTACCTGTTGCCGTTCCCTGTAATCTAGTTTAAGCACAATATTCTTTCTTACACCAATGGTTTGTAAACCTCTCTGCAAACCATGACCAAGCATCAGACTAGGCAAAACCTTGAAAGCCAGGTACTCTGTGTGCTTTATTTACCTTACATCTATATCCAAGCCTTCTTCTTTACACTGCTTTATACCCTCAAGTACAGTTTCAACATACGTCCGTTTGGTCATACCTACAAACACACGTACACATTTGGAATAAACATATTTGAATTAATTTTATTTCGTTGCAGGCCCCCTCCCTCTAGCCTCGTTAAGTCTCATTTTACACCTTTGATTCTAGCGCTCAGTCTTCTATTCTACATAGTACTAATTCTGTTTATAAATACAGCTTTACTTTGAAGAATACATTTGAATTAAGCCTCCTCCTAACCATCTAAAAGAAAGAAAATAACAGTGTGAACCAGAGTATCAATGGGGCTTCTCTTTGGTGTTTCTATTAAACCACATATAAAAAAAATTAAATTAAGTAAAAAGAGAAAATCTATCAGCTATTAAAGATATTAGCAGACTCAGATGTCATACTAAAGCTAATAACTCACATTCTTGGGTAGTAGAGTTATAGCCAACATATTTTGTCCTCAAAAATCTAATATTAAGGTGACATGTTTTTAGATGGTGACATCTTTAGTTTTAAATACAAAGTACACCGCTACTGAACCAACTGCATTTGTTCTCTTTATTAACGTATTCTTAGCTGAGGTTTACAGCACATTAGAGTTACAAATTAAAAAGCAGAACAGACTGTACCTGTGGACTTCTCTTCTCTAGGAGTGCTCCTCAATTCCAGATACTTGACACCATCATCAGCAAACTCTCTAATAACATCTTTAGTTATCTGATTAAGAAACAGCCTATTCAACATCATGAAAGTAATGCTTACAGTTAGCTACATTTTCCTTTACAACTAAAAGAAAGACCCAGGGGGTTTTTTTTGGCATGCAACACTTGGAAATTTTCAGGTCTTCTGTGTTTCCAGCGCTCTCCAGGTCTGCAAATACTGGCCCAGAGGGCAGTACTGGGTTCCCTCAGATACTAAGCAGGGCTGGGACAAAAGAGAATTGCCTGGTGTGAACAGGAACACCTTCCACCTGGTGCAGTCAGGACCCCTTTCCCAGGTACCGCACCCTCTGCGAGTTTAACAGGCTGCCTAAAAGCCCCTCGACAGGAGGGAAGAAGAGGACACTCCAACACTCTCTGCTACCGTCTTGATCCCACAACAATTCTCCTTGACAGCTTTGTAATCCAGACGTGAACGCAGGGCAATTCTAGTTCTGTAATTCTGGTATGTGATGACCCAAAAAAGAAACAGGACACCACGGCAAATCAAAGTTCTGGTAACGATGAACAGACATCACGTTTTAAAGACATTGTCAGTCCAAGCATTGGGGTGGTTGTAACAACCAGCACACTGGAGGCTCAATGTTTTCACAAAAATTAAATGCAAAAGCTAAATATAATCCTGTCTTTCTAAATTGGTATGTTTTACAGTAGTAATTCTGACCTCTGCCTGAAGGGACTTGCTATTGTTGATATTGTTACTTGGAACCCAATGACATTAATCCATCTAATTTTGACCTTTTTGACTAATTTTGATATTGCTTGTTTGTTTTAAGCAAACTTTCAATTAACTTACCAGTAAAATATCTTCAGTCCTAGTGGTAATCTGATAGATGATCTGAAACATCTGAAAACATCTAAAATGAAAAATTTAAAAAATCAATTGGATAAACACTGAACAGTAAAATGAGCATTCAAAAAAAATTAAAAAGATAATCTGCACTTCAAAACACGTCCTCACTACACTCAATTAACCAGCTCGCACCTTAAAATGCAAAGCCCATCTGAATGGCGATTTCTGATTTTGGATGCTAACACAAATTATTATTACATTATCATATTAATATTGCAAAAGTTATTATTACCACAAAGCTTTTTGAAGCGCAAAGGAAAACATTAAGTGTCTAAAAAAGGACACTTACGGGTCAATTTCTTCTACAGGAGAAAATTTTCAATTCTTCAAAAAGGGAATTAATCAACATGAGATTTCCACTCACAGTTGCAAGAAAAAGTATGCAAACTTTCTGGAATTTCATGGTGTTCTGCGTTAATTTGTCACAGAGGGTCAGAATTGTATTTGTGTTGTTATTTTAGGCACATTATATTCATCAATACTCTTGAACTGGATGCTGGTTAGATCACATTTCACAACAAATTAATGCAGAACTGTACTGTGATTAAAATTTGAAATGTATTTTCTGCAGTCAGAGTGTAAGGCCATACATTTGTATGAACTTAAAAAGACGGTCGGGTAAACGTCCATCACACACACACACACACACACGTGTCCGTGTACACTCACTCATCTAAGGTTCTCTTCTTTCCTTTGTCAATCACAGTCATTCCGTTCTGGATCTGAAGGTGCGGCTTCTGGGCCATAAGTTTCTTCATGGTGGCCGAACTGATGCAGCCGTTCAAATGAGCGTGAAGTTCCTAGAGAAAAAACCTCCTGCGGGTTTGGGTCTGGTGGAAAGGATGGCTCCCACGCTTTGTTTGTACCGCTGTTCTTGTATCCTGTGCTAGTGTTTTGACTCCGAGTTCCAGAGTAAAGTGACAGTTGTCCCTGTGGTTAGCTCAGAACTGTTTCCGCCTGCTCTTGCAGGCACCAGTTTAACCGAGACTGTCCTATTTGCTCCAGATTTTGAAGTTTTAGCTCACACCAGAAACCCGGTGAGACACGACCTTTACTCATTAAGAGCAAGTGGAGTAAGCGCCCTCCTTTGTCTGAGACAGCTTTCAGCCTTTCTCCTGGCAACTGGACTTTGGGGTCCAAATCTACAATCCTGGGCTCTGTTGCTTGTTTTGCCTTTGCCCCTTCTTATGATCGCTTGGCTCTCAACAATCAGAACAATCTTCTACCTCCATCAAGACACATCTGCAAAGTGCCTGCTTTGTTATCTACCCCCTCGCCCCTCTGAAACACATCCCTTCTCACTGGGGAAAGAAAAATCGGAGAAACATTTATTTAAGCCTTTGGCTGGAAAACACGTTGAAATTTTAACCCCTTCAAAACTATTTGTTTTAATTTTGTGAAGTACTGCGTTTCAGATTTCTTTTTTAAAGTATTAAGTCCACAAGCAGAAGAAAAGGGCTCTGATGGGCTGTGAAGGCAGAAAAACTCCAGCGGAACACCAGGAGCTATGGCTGACTACACTTCTAGAAATCAAGCCAGATACAACGTTAAGTTTTTCACAGCCTCACAAGCAAAACACCTCACGGAATTCAGTTAGACATCAAATGTAAACCCTGAAAAACATCTTACTGAAGAGGAGCACGAGACTGGTGCAGCCTGAAGTGGTTTCAGCTGTGCTCCGAGCAGCAGCTCCGGGCTGCAGGACGTGCCGGTTTGCAGGTGCGGGCTCACAAGACCGATAAAAAGGCCCCAACACTCTGCAAACGACAGCACCCACATGCTCAAAGCAAGGCACACCCTTGGGGACACGGACAGAAAGAAAAAAATAAAAAACCCCTTATCTGAGACAGGATGGGTATCAAGAGCTGAGGGGTGAGGGTCAAGGGGAAGGGGACAATCTCTTCTCGGTGGTGCCCAGCAATAGGACAAGGACTAATGGGTGTAAGCTGGAACATGGGAAGTTCCACCTCAATGTGAGGAGAAATTTGTTGGCTGGGCGGGTGCCGGAGCCCTGGCCCAGGTTGCCCAGAGAGGGTGTGGAGTCTCCTGCTCTGGAGACTTTCCAACCCGCCTGGACGCGTTCCTGTGGGACCTACTGTAGGTGACCCTGCTCTGGCAGGGGGTGGCACTGGGGGATCTCCAGAGCTCCCTTCTAACCCCCAGCAGTCTGTGATTCTATACCCTTGGGGGAAAACAGGGCAGGAAAAGCAAATAAAGCCGGCGCTCAGCTGATGGGATTAGCAGGCGAGGCGCTAAACGGGATGGGCAGGCAAACACCCGAAGGGCC